AAGTACTTAAGGATGTTCTTCACAGCCGTCCAATGGCTTTCGCCAGGGTTGGACTGGTATCTACTCGTGACACTCAGAGCAAAGGCGACATCAGGTCTCGTACATACCATCGCATACATGATGGATCCAATGGCCGACGCATAAGGAACATTTCTCATGCGTTCTACTTCCTCCGGAGTGGAAGCACCCTGAGTCTTGGAAAGACTCGTGCCTTGGACCATAGGCAAACTTCCTCGTTTCGACTCAGACATGCTGAATCTAGCGAGGACCTTGTCTATGTATGTACTTTGACTCAGACCTAACAGCTTCCGTGATCTATCCCTATAGATCCTTATGCCAAGTGCATAACTGGCATCTCCCAAGTCCTTCATAGAGAAACTCTTACTCAACAACGTTTTGACGGTGGTTAAAGTAGGAATATCGTTTCCTATTAGCAGTATGTCATCAACATACAGAGCAAGGAAGACTACAGCACTCCCACTGACCTTCTTGTATACACAAGATTCATCCGAATTTCTTTCAAAACCAAAGCCGATGACAGTTTCGTGAAAGCGGATGTTCCAACTCCGTGGGGCTTACTTCAATCCGTAGATTGATCGCTGCAACTTCCATACCTTGGTAGATTCTTCAGGAGCGCAAAACCCTTCAGGTTGTGTCATAAAGACATCATCAAGGAGGTTTCCATTAAGGAAAGCCGTTTTGACGTCCATCTTCCAGATTTCGTAATCGTGGTATGCTGCGATAGCAAGTAAGATCTGAATGGATTTAATCATGACAACTGGAGAAAAAGTTTCGTCATAGTCGATACCATGTATTTGACGATATCCTTTTGTTACCAATTGTGCCTTGAAGGTTTGCACCTTACCATCCATGTCAGTCTTCTTTTTGAAGACCCATTTGCACCCAATGGGTTTGATCCCTTCGGGTGCATCAACCAAAGTCCATACTTGGTTGGTGTACATGGAATCCATTTCGGACTGCATGGCTTGACACTATTCCTTAGCCTCGGGACAACTGATTGCCTCGAGGTAGGTCTCCGGCTCATCCTGGTCAATAAGCATTACATCACCCTCAAAGGTTAGGAGGAATCCATACCTTTCAGGTTGTGTGCGTAACCGGTTAGACCTACGGGGTTCTTGTGTATCTTGAGCATTTTGAGGTACAACGGTTTGTTCCTCTAGCTCATGTTCCAGAACCGGCGCGGTAGTTTCTTCGTCGTCTCGAATTTCTTCGAGGTCTATCTTTCTCCCACCAGTTGCGTTGGAGAGAAATTCCTTCTCGAGGAAGACACCATTGCGAGAAACGAATACCTTCTTATCGATAGGGTGATAGAATGAATACCCTCGAGTTTCCTTTGGGTATCCCACAAAGAAACACTTATCAGACTTGGCGTCAAGCTTGCTATTTGTCATAAGACGTTTGACATAAGACTCACAGCCCCAAATCTTTAAGTGTGACAGAACCGGGCATTTGCCCGTCCATAGCTGGTATGGTGTTCCTTCAACCGCCTTGGTTGGAACTCGGTTAAGAGTATATATTGCAGTGCTCAGCGGATACCCCCAGAATGATTCTGGTAGAGTCGAATGACCCATCATAGAACGAACCATGTCAAGCAGAGTTTGATTCCTCCTTTCAGAGACACCATTCCATTGTGGAGTCCCAGGAGTTGTGAGTTGGGATAAAATCCCATGCTCTCTAAGATAGTCATCGAACTCACCACTTAAGTATTCTCCACCTCGATCAGATCGTAGTGCTTTAATACTTTTGCCAAGTTGTTTTTCAACTTCATTCCTGAATTCTTTGAACATTTTAAAGGATTCTGACTTGTGTTTCATGAGATACACATAGCCATATCTACTGAGGTCATCAGTAAAAGTGATGAAGTATGAATAACCACCTCGTGCAGTTGTATTGAAAAGCCCGCACACATCACTATGAATGAGTGCCAGAAGATCACCAGCTCTTTCACCGTGTCCGGTGAAAGGAGATTTGGTCATCTTATCCAATAAACAAGATTCGCATGTGTCATATGATTCAAGATCAAATGACTCCAGCATTCGCGACCGATGTAGCTTGGATATGCGTTTCTCGTTTATATGGCCTAACCTACAATGCCATAGGTATGTTTGGTTCAAACCGTTTGGTTTGTTCCTCTTGGCTGATATGTTATAGACAGGCATGTCCAAGTCAAGGACATATAACCCATTGGTCATGTTGGCATTAGCATAGAAAACATTCTTTTTGTAAACGGAAAGGAACTTGTCTTTAATAGAAATGATGAAACCACTCTTATCAAGACATGAAACAGAAATAATGTTTCTGCTAATCGCAGGAACGTACAAGCAATCGTTTAATTCCAACATTAGACCACTAGGCAAGACTAAACTATAAGTTCCGATTGCCAAAGCTGCAACAGGTGCACCATTGCCGACTCGGAGTTCAATCTCGCCTCGAGCTAACCGTCTACTCTGCTTCTGTCCCTGCATGGTAGTACAGATATGAGACCCACATCCAGTATCTAGTACCCATGATGAAGATATAGACATGTTAACTTCTATAACATACACCTCAGAAGAAATGGTCGTACCTTCCTTCTTCTTGGTTGCGAGGTATGTCTTGCAGTTTCTTCTCCAGTGGCCTGCCTTACCACAATGATGACATTTGCCCTTTGCAACTCCTCCTACGGGTTTCTGCATTGCAGATGAAGTGGACTTCGATTTAGGCTTTCCGACCGTCCTAGCCTTAATCTTAATCCCATTCTTCGGCTTCCTCTTTCCGCCTTGGACCATAAGGACGGAAGCACCCTTGCCCTTAGTAAGGTTCTCCTCTGCAGTCTGGAGCATTTTAAGAAGCTCCGGAAGGGGTTTGTCAAGATCATGCATCATGTAGTTCATGACAAAACCCTTATACAGCTCAGGGAGCAACTGCAGGATCAGGTCCGTTGCCAGCTCCTTCTGCAAGGAGAACCCGAGTTTCTCTAGATTGGTTATGTAACCAATCATTTTGAGAACGTGCGGACCGACCGGGTTCCCTGAAGAGAGCTTGCAACTAAAGAGAGCCTTACTCACGAGAAAACGTTCATTCCTGGATTGCCCCTGGTATAGCTGCCGCAAGGCCATGATCATCTCGTGGGCCTTCATGTCCTCGTGCTGTTTTTGCAGCTCGGTTATCATGGTAGCCAGCATGACACAGCTAACCTGTTTGTCATCCTTAACGTGTTTCTCGTAGGCATCTTTGACCGCTTTCGGGGCGTTAGCGGGAGGGGCAGGAGGAATGGGCTTTTCGAGCACATACTCTTTCTCATCCATGCGGAGAACAATGGAGAGATTGCGTTGCCAGTCAACAAAGTTTGTGCCGTTCAATTTATCTTTATCCAGAATGGAACGCAGGGCGAGGTTGTTTGTGTTGTAGTTGTTTGCCATCTGTAGAATTTTGCGAAGATAGTTATTATCATGAATTAAGTATCTAATAGGTCTTTATTAAATACTCTCCCACTATTTCTAACAAGTCAATTACCCTCAGGTACGGAACCTATTGACTTGGGGTCTCTATTTGAAGAATACCCTAGCGGGCCAAGATCCATATTTTACTTAACATAGTTGTGCTTTGCATCTTGCCCTACAGTCAAGTTATTTAGGTAGGAATTCATTCCAATTGCAATCGTTATTGCAACTCTTGGTTCGGTGGATTCTTTTAAATAAAATTCTTAATTAGGCCAGATCCATATTTCATTTAACTATAGTTGTGCTTTGCATCTTGCCCTACAGTTAAATTATTTCTGGTAGGAATAAATTCCAATTGTAACAATTTACAACTCTGGTTGGATGATCTGATTTTATTTATTGATCCTACCGCAGTGCGCTAAGTCTCTCATCCTTATGACCAAGACTTAGTTAAGACTAACCCGGGGCGAGTCACTACCCAAGTTACGGGTTTCGCGCCTAACCAACGTAAACCGGGCGTCTCACTTGGGTGAGTCCGTTACCGATCTAAATTGGGTTTGACGAGTAACGGGGCGTCGGGGTGGCACAGACTTAAAATTATGAGGGATTTATTACGCAGTCTTGCCTATGGCATACACCGCGCGTATGCACTAGCGAAAATCACATACATGCATACATTCAATCATACATCACATGCATAATAAGTAAACGTGAAATGATTGTGGCTCCTAAAGAAAAACAAATGACAGCGCCTTGATCAAGAGATCTCTATCTCCGGCCCATCACGTCTTCCTTAGGATTCTCTATCACGAACGGACTTCATCTTCTTATCTTCTTATAATTTTCGAGAGAAAAGAATATTTGAGGTAAAGAAGAGAATTACATCCAGAGTATAGAGATGAGGCAATAATATATCTAAGCCACAATCATCCACCATGCAATAATACATACAAGCATCACATGCATCACATCATACATATTAAAGCATACACCGGGCGAACCGCGCTCGCCCCAGACCTAGTTTATTCTATTCTACGGAATAAACTATTAACAATAAATTAATTAAACTAGCAAGTAATTTAATTAAAAATCATAAAATACTTTAAATTTCCAGAATGTTAGAAATTTTATTTTCTAAATTCCAGAAAATAAAATATTTTATATTTACCGTATATATACATTTAAATTCGAAAAAGGGATTTTATTTCGAATTAAATATATATATGTTTTCTAAATTAGCAAATAATTATTGGAGACTCCCAGTAAACTTTATTAATCTGGAAATCCTAAAATTCCAGAATGAATAAAATTTAAAATTTTGAAAACCATTTTACAAAGCCAGAAAACCGAAATTATATTGTGAAAATATATTTCGAAATTCCAAAAATATCAAAATTAATTTTTCAAGTCAAAAATAAGTTCCAGAACCAGAATATGATTTTTCTAGAATTTAAAATATTAAGTTTGCAATTTAAAACAATTAAAAATCGGACTAGTGAATAGTACCGATCCAATTACTTCAAAAATACAAAATAAATACTTTTACGTGTTTAAAAATTATGAAAAGTTTTATACAAGCTTAAAATCTCTGGCCGCAACTTATTATGAATTAAAATTAATTTTTTTTGATCGTCAAAATTAAGTTTTCCTATTTTCTATTCAATAAACGAATTTAAAAATAGAAAAATAGGAAATTAATTCCAAAAATCGATTTTAAAATTTATGAGTTATATTGACATGTCAAATACATCCCAGAAAATATAAAATCTAATTTTCATAAATATTAAGTATTTATGGCACAAATAACAAGTATTCTACACAAAACTACTTAATAAGAATAATATAAAAATACCCCAAACAGTAATTCCGAAAATTACTGAAAAAAATTATATTAGGTCCAGTATCTAAATATGGCCACCTAATTAATTTTTATAATGGGATAAATTTTTTTGTCTCCAAAATTTATTGACTAATCTACAAAAACAATAACGGTAAAAACTACTAAACTAGTAACTTCGTAAGCCGGCTCCGATACCACTGTTGGGAAACGAGGCTTGGATTGTAACGCCCCGAAACATACCCTAGAATTATTATTAAATAATTATTCATTTAAACAAATTTGTTTTGATTAAAATAAATTGTTGTTGGGCTTTGAGCCGATACGAAATATGTTTTGATATCTATTATCGCACTCTGGATAAATCTCATAGAGATAAATCCAATATATTGACTATTTGTGTGGTCTTGATTGGGAACCTGAGTACAGACCCAAATCAAGAATAAATTAAGAAATTTACTTGTGATGTAAATATTAAAATGATTTATTAAAATAAATCATGAAAATGAATGATATGAATTAAATGAGAGAACCTTTTTGAAAAAAGGTAAATTAAATAAATTTGGACTCTGTCAAAGTCAAAAATTTAAAAATATGATGTCAGAAAAAGTATTACAAATAAATATAAAACCTATGTCGTTGGATAGAGCTTGACTGTCTAGTCGCAACAGTGCAAACGAATTTCAATTCGGAGAAAGTTGGACCAAAAAGTGTACCCCGACTGGGACCAAATTAGTCCCAATCAGGGAAAATTCGTAGCAATCAGACTAAATCAGCCGACCTTCCCATTTCGCCGATCGTGAGTCACCACTGACGATCGTCAAAGTAGAAGAAATAATACGGTTTCTTTTGTGCACTATCCTGTGGAGATTGTTTATGATTCGAATATCCTTTTCCAAAGGATTTCTTTTCGTTAGCACTAAATATGGTGTGTGTTTCATTAAAGCTCAAGTGCCTATGTCTAGTGAAACACACGGGAGCTATATGTCCTACCCTATTGCAATAATGGCATACTACATTTGGGTTGAACATATGCCTAGGTTGGTAATAGCTAGGGGGTCTAACCATTTTCATCCTATTTTGAGAAAATATTGATTTTTGGGTATTTTGAAAGTTCTCTCTTCTAGGTGTTCTAGCATTATTTTGTCTATTTGAAAAATTATTTGTGTCCATAAAATCATTTTGATAATTCCTCCTAGGTTGCCTAGAGTGCTCGTGTTCATGACTAACCTTTTGTCTAGGTTGTCTATTATTTTTATTTTTATCTTTCTTAGGTTGAGCTCTAGGT